GTATATTATAAAAATTAAAAATTCTAAATAAAAAACAAGTACAATCTTTATTATAAAATCAAATGAAAATAATAATAAAATAACAAAAGAAATTAAAAGAACTTGAAGAAAATTTGCTCTATCCATTATACATATATATATATTTTTAATAATCAACCTGTTAAAAGTTACTCCATACATATACCAATAAACTGAATCATATATTATTTATCATATAGAAAGAGAATATCATTTGACATGGGGAATAGTATGCATTTAAGTGCCAATGTCAAAACCAACGCGATTTCTCGCCCACGTGTATATGTATGTGTATGATTGTGTGTGTGCTCGTTAACTAAAAAAAGAAAAGAAATTTTACTCAGCATAGTTGGTTGTTGTGTAGTATAGTATAGTTACTTATTAAGCTCATGGAGACGACGACTATGAGTAATTCAAATGGAATTGATGAACTCGTTACGTCCTCCCTTTTCCCCCCTTGTTCTCTCTCTCTCTCTCTCTCTCTCTCTCTCACTCTCTTGTTTTACATCGTAGGATTAAGTGCCATAGCAGTACTATACTAACATGAGAACGAGAAGACCGACATCCTCTAATTTACGCAACGCGATATGGAAATATTTTCTATGGTGTGGTATATTCTTTCAGTCCTTCTATGAAATAGGATAACTATATATATATATATGTGTATGTAACGCAAGGAAAAGGTCTGATTTAATACCCATCCACCCACTCCCCCTTCTTTCTCCTACCCCTCTCAACGTTTTCATGCCGCTAGGGTTTCTTCTAGAAACGTTTGACCTTTTTTTTCTTTCCCCCCCATAGAAACTTCCTTCCTCTTAACGTTTCCCTTTCTACTGGCAATAATAATTTATTCATGGTTCTGATTCTTGTCGATTTTTTTAGAAATTATTTTCTAATATTTAATAGAATACTTATTGTTCATTAAAATATTTATTAGATTAAAATGAATTTTTCTTATTATATAATCATTGTCATTTTAAGCATTGAAAATAAAAAAAGGGGTAGTTTAATTTGTTGAAAGATCGGAGAATACTTATTGTTCATTAAAATATTTATATTAGATTAAAATGAATTTTTCTTATTATACAATCATTGTCATTTTAAGGATTGAAAATAATTGTTCCTATTATAAACAATCATTGTCATTGTCATTGTCATTTTAACGATTGAACATAAAAAAGGGGTAGTTTAATTTGTTGAAAGATCGGAGAATACTTATTGTTCATTAAAATATTTATATTAGATTAAAATTAATTGTTCCTATTATACAATCATTGTCATTTTAAGGATTGAAAATAATTGTTCCTATTATAGACAATCATTGTCATTGTCATTGTCATTTTAACGATTGAAAATAAAAAAAAGGTGTAGAGATGGAGATGGGGAAGTTTAATTTGTTGAAAGATCGGAAATATCAACGCCTAGCTCCTAGGTAGACCTATAAACATTTGATTTATCTACTTGGAAATCGAACTCTGGCTGATTTGTGGCCTTGGACGGCCCTGAGGGGAGTCAAGCTCTCTGATCGTAAGGGCCCACACCACTACCCCTTCTTCTTTCCTTCCTCCTAGGGCCCAGATACACGTCACCATTCTTGGTGGGGGCAATGGCGAGTAGCGTAATGCAACAACTACACACATGCAAGTGCAACCAATGACGGAGAAAGAAGAAGAGAATCACATGGGGATCATCTCCTATATAAGAGGATGCAACCAAGAATTGCACACTCTCATATAAGTTAGCCAAGCCCGCGGGGTAGTATTATTATTCTTCTAACCATAAACGTGAAAAAGACATAACGCAATAAGTGACATAATCACAGGAAGAACAACACACATACAAATTTAATAATAATATATATTTTAACTAATTAATTTTATCGAAAGTTTTTCGTTTATTCTACGATACGAACATGATGATAAACGTGAGTGATCAAATAATTATAATTCAAATATAAATAAATATATTATCGAAATATATTTTTTATATTGCAATAAATTTGTTAGATAATAAAATATTAATATTCCATACTTCATTATA